GTGTGGTGTGGTGTGGTGTGGTGTGGTGTGATGGTGTGGTGGTGTGGTGTGGCGTGGTGATGTGGCGTGGTGGTGTGTGGTGTGGGTGTGGTGTGGTGTGGTGTGATGGTGTGGTGTGGTGTGGTGTGGTGTGGTGGTGTTCATGAAACAGTAATATCGTCAGAAGTTGTCTCAAAACTCACATGGCCGGTGACATGTGGCGCCTTACGAGAGCTCTAATAATTCATTATATCAGACTCTGAAATTAGTGAATCTGACAATTCGTATTATTAGACTTTGAGAATCATTGACTCTGAGAATCAGTGACTCTGAGCATCAATGACTATGAGAATCATTGACTCTGAGAATCAGTGACTCTGAGAATTAATGACTATGAGAATCAGCGACTCTAAGCATCAGTAACTCAGAGAATCAGTGACTGAGAATTAGTGACTCTGAGAATCAGTGACTCTGAGAATCAGTGACTCTGAGAATTAGCGACTCTGAGAATCAGCGACTCTGACAAACATTGACTCTGAGAATCAATGTCTCTGAGAATTAATGACTCTGAGAATCAGTGACTCCTAGAATCAGTGACTGAGAATTAGTGACTCTGAGAATCAGTGACTCTGAGAATTAATGACTCTGAGAATCAACGACTCTATGCATCAGTGACTCTGAGAATCAGTGACTGAGAATTAGTGACTCTGAGAATCAGTTACTCTGAGAATCAGTGACTCTGAGAATCAGTGCTCTGAGAATCAGTGACTCTGAGAATCAGTGCTCTGAGAATCAGTGACTCTGAGAATCAGTGAGTGACAATTCCTAATATCAGAGCTTGTTTTATATCATCACCTCGCATTGTGCAGACACTCAGAAAATTTAGAGAATTTGTCCCAATATCGATGCACTTCTTGCCCTTGAGTGTGGCATGCTGACCCAGTTCGGCCCGGTAAAAGTTCGTATCAGTGCTACGTGCCGAAAGTGTGTCACTATTTGGGCAATAGTACCCATTAAATTTTTAGTGCAGCCGTATAATACTTTCGGGAAGGTCAAGCCTTCAATTTGAAGAATAAATTTCGGTTTCAATTTCATACACTTCGTAATTTTTAAGGACAGCAGGTCCAGGCAGGACCTCATTGTTTTTTTAATACAAATTTTGAGATATTTGAAATGAAAGGCATGAAACTATAGGGTCACCAAATGTTAAACTTGTTTAATTGGTTAAAAAAATTCCTTCGTCTCGTTAACTTATATGAAACAAAATAAATTATTGCTTTATTTATTGTTCTTTGCTTGGCCATGTTTCAAAGGAAAAAAAAGTTTTAAAACAATTTGAAATCACTGAAGCGTCTGTGAAATTTTTAGTTTTCATTGACATAGGTTGAACGAAGCATTTATTAGTGGAAGACTTTCAAAGAACTCCCAGTCCAATTATTCATTTATTAACTAAGCAAATTGAGTAGCACAGCTCACAGAACTAAGAATATACATCGAATAACTTTCGTAACTATGCTACTCTCAATTAGAAAACTTCATTCATTTTCAATTTCAAACGAACAATTGCAACAATCACTTCTATGACAAACTTTCTGGATTAGGTTTTTGAAGATGTGTTAAAAAATTCAAAGAACTTAGAAGAACGCTATCGATTTATCAACAACATTGTGAACACAGGCAGTATTGGCTTCTAATATTTATCAAATCGGAGTAGATTTATCTTCTGATAAATTGTCTTTTTTCATGCTGATGTTATGAAACTCTGAGTGAATACCAATTGCTTAGAGTTAATAGGCTAAAATTTCATACGTAATCTTATTACAATAGCCTACACGAATTCCAAAAAAAATTAATGATTAAATTAATAATCTTATTTGTGAAACCTTTAAATGAGTTCAATTAAAGTACAGAGATTACTTTTTTGTTAAATTTTTGTTAGATTTTTCTTCAGTGGGTACAAGTTTGTCCCTTCATGGCGCTGCCAGGCCAAAAAGCCGCTTACCACAAGACATTTTAATATACTGCGATGTTTCGAATAATTATTCAATATCAAATTTTAAAACGTAAAATTAAAATTTTTATTTTTTTTAAAGGATCAAAAAACGTTAAATGGGGTATGAAAATTTTTGTATTACTGGGAAAATAATTTCAACGTCCTTACAAATCCGGCGGTTTGTAAATTTATATCTGGAGACTCGTGCTTGATGATGAGGGCCTCAGCCATCGCCAGTCTTGATGCGAATGGACCTTGCATGTGATGCCCCAAGCCTGCACCAGCATCGTCATGCGGTGCCCCGACGCCTGCACCAGCATCATCATGCGGTGCCCCGACGCCTGCAGCCCCAAGCCTGCACCAGCATCGTCATGCGGTGCCCCAAGCCTGCACCAGCATCATCATACGGCGCCCCAAGCCTGCACCAGCATCGTCATGCGGTGCCCCAAGCCTGCACCAGCATCATCATGCGGTGTCCCGCACTGGCGATAGCTGAATTCCTCATCATCAAGGCAGAAGCCCAAGCTATCAATCTGCAAACTATTATTTTCGAATTCCACATAATAAATTGAATTTGTTCTTTTTATTTCGATTACTTATAACGATTAAAATCTCGTGATTAAATCATTCAATAACTGAAATTGAATGTTATATCATTCGAATGGTCTCAAATGCATTGAAATTCTTAGGCGGCCGGCTTTTCTACTTACATCAGAGGCAAATATCGTGTGATTAATTGTTAATTGGAAAAGAGGCTAAAAAATATTTTTAGAAGTACGTATATTCATTGGCCCACAAGCAAACTCGAATAAAATTGAAATTTTTAATAATGCTAGCAGTTAAATGAAGAGTTTATCTGAAAACAGTGTCACATAATAAATAGTGTCAATAGTGTTAACTATCTTACATATTAAATAGTGCCAATAGTTTTAATTAAGTTTCCTATTAAATAGTGTCATAGTGCTAACAATGTCATCTATTAAATAGTGCCATAGTGTTTACTATGTTACCTATTAAATAGTGCCTAGTGTTAACTATGTTACATATTAAATAGTGCCAGCCTTCAACTATGCCAGCCTTTACATAGTCCCCAAGTGCTAACAATACCCTCTGTTACATAGTATCAAAGGTGCTAACATTATTGAACATTTTGCAGCTGTACACGAGAAGTTCTTCACGCTATTCATGCTGGTGTCGCTGGTATACATGTTGGTGGTGGTGCGGGTGTTCAGTTGTGTACAGACTGGTCTGTCCCCCGCCATGCGGCGCTCGTTCCTACACAAGAAATGTATTTTCGGCCTCAAGCTAGCAGCCACAGCTGGGCTTATGTTCTTCTTCTACAGACACAGAGTTTACTGCCTACCCAAAGGTGACTATTAAGAGTATAATAATAATTATTATTATCGATATTATAATACATACTTTGATCTACTTTTTATCATACCAATACTTGCTATAAAGTGTTCCGGTATATGCAGTATATGATTTGTATAAGATGCTTACATTTAAGATCGTGGTAAAAATGATACGATACTTGAATTTGAATAATGATGCAATACCCGAAACACCAGTAAAACAGAATCATCCCTGTAGTCAATATGTTTAGTGAATATAAAATTCAGATGATTCTTACAAGTTTATTGCAATTGTGGTCAATTAAATACAATTCTTCCAGAACAAACATACCATATCAGATTTACCATATGCAGATTTATCTCATGGAAAGACACGAAATAGAATTCCTTGGAAGTAGTGTGAGAAAAAATAATTAGGATTATGATCTGTAGCAACTTAACTAATGTAATTAAATGTAATATAGTAACGTAATAACACGGCTTATAAAGCACGGAGTAAACTACCGGGATGTTGATTGTTTATAAGTGTTGCTTGATTGCAAATCGCGAGGAAGGTCTTAAATATTTATTTAGATATTATTTATAATATTACTAGACTTCAGTGAGGCCTTATTTTACTGGCACGTTTTTAATTTATATGAAGCAATTTAGTTGCATTTTTACGCTTGTACTAGCTATCACTCAGAAAATTTGCATTCTAATCGGAAATGCGTATAAGTAAATGATTGTCAAAAATGAGTGATTATGCACTTTTTCCAGAGCTTCATTGTGCGACCATAAAAATCATTTCCTTGATTTTTGTTCATTATGATTTCACGATTTAATGGCAAAATTACAAAATAATTTAATTTGTAATTGTGTTTAATTTAAATTACGTTTAATTTAAATTATGAAATCCCTTCATCTGCGTCACTTTCATCGTGATACATGATAACAAACGAAAAATATCAAGTTTAGAGTCATTGCACGCAATTATGTATGTATTTGATTTATATGGTCCTGCTGCATAAATTAATAAACCAGCTCGTAACAGCGTTATTTTCTTTCCAGCCTTCAGTTGGTTCTCACTCTGCGAGTACGTGATCGCGACGTGCAATATGCTTTACCACGTCAGCGTCGCGCTGGATTTCTCAGACCATGACCTCATCGTGGGCCGCATCGTCTGTAATCAACTACCAACGAGCTCTACACAACCTGCTCCACCAGCTGTCTCAAGTGTCAACTCAGAATCCGTGTTGCCTGACTCCCGTAACCAAAATGACACCACGATAGTTTCACCACTCGCACTAAACGCTCAAATAACAACAGAAACAAACAATTTTGATGGATCGCAAGGCATAATGAAGGCTACTGACAACAAATCTTCAGTTTATGACGACTTTCCAAAGAAACAATCGGAATCCGTTGCAAATGACATTTCAGTTAATTCACTCCGGAAGCGGAGTTCATTGAACACAGATGATGTCGATAAAAAGCTGAAAGGATGTGAAGAAAGCGTAGGACATTATTTATTATTAAATTCTAGTTCAGAATCCATTTCAGGATTGAACGAGCATGAATCGCCGGCTGGAAGCACGGAACTTCATCCGTTGTCTCCGTCTTTCACTTCCAGTATTTCCAGATCAACTTCAGGATTTTCCGCCACTTCTTCGTCGGTGGAGGTCTCTGAATCTGTGAGTTTGGAGGCAATTTTCGAAAAGAACAGATTAGCAAACGACGACTCCATGAATGAAAGTCTTCTGGACGAAGGAGTTGAAGGTGGGAGTAAACTCGAATGTCAGGTGAGAACATCTCTGTCAGCAGAGATCTTCGAGGTAGACTGTGTTGTGCCCGACAACGAGGGCGTGAGTGACGACAGTGAAGACAAAGATTCAAACTTTTCCAGCTCGCAAGACTTTACATCTAATTCCAGGTCAAGTGATTTAACAGTTGCCAATTCTCCACTCACGATCAGACAAGCAGTAGATTTACAACTAGACGATGCATTGAGTGTTCGCTCTAAGGATTCACTCGCAGAATTTGAAATTGCTGCGAGTTTTTGCCAACCTCATAGCCTTCCACCAAATGACCGTGCCTCTACTCATTCCGGTAGTCTGAGTCACGCTGCATCTCCAGAACCCATGTACAGCACCGCCATGTCTAGTCTAACAGAAACGTCTGGGCTAGATGATTCTCTTAACAATTATTCTAGTCAACTGCATCACAGAGTTAGAAGTACTAATACGGATAATATTGACCCAACAAATTCTCTTGCAATTTCTTCTTCTTGTCCTAAATTTGGAAAAGATGACGAACACAGCAGACTAGACTCGGTTTCTCAGGAGCCTGTAACAAAATCGTCGCCTTTACTTCGAGATATAACAGATGCTGACAGTTCCAGAGAAATATGTTCCTCTTATGGTTCTAGTAACAAAAAAACTGGCAAGTCTCACGATGAATGAGAACAAAAATATTTTAAATAAAGTAAATAAGTCTAGTCATCCCATTTATGTAGTACGGTCGTTGAACATGTAGAATTGTTGCTCCTTGTTGTTGTTACATATTTTTCGTAGTTGTAAAGTGATCCGTTCGTCCTGTACCTTTTACCTTAATGTACATTCAAACCCTACTCGCTCTCTCATTTTGTAAAAAATTCGTCGTCTCGTTTGTAACTAGTATTCCTTTACTTATATATTTTCATTCGTAATCTGTTTACTATGCGTGCTGTATAAGAAAATACTCAAATTGAGTAAAATGTTCCATAAATATTGTGATATTGTCCTATTGTGTAAGTTTTGATATGTTACTGCTCGAGTTACTGGCTGTTATTGTGTTCTAAGTGCAAATATTGACAGTGCAAAAAATTAATTTCAAACAAAATAAAACAATATAATTAGAAACTAAATCTCAATCATTTTTCTTCCAAATACTTGAAGAGAATCTTAAATGCAAATCCATATTAAATGTGTCCAAAAGTGGATTGGTGCCAGTGCTCATTTTCCAATAGTCGTTTCTTTATTACTATAGTGTGATGAATTTTATTGTAGTAGTTCAACATTTATTATGATAAATCGTATCATATCAGTAACCGTTTTGTAAAAATATCTCCTTCCAAGTTAGGAAATATAATTCATGCACCGCTCATACGTCATCTTCGACTCTACAAAAACCTGTTTGACAGCGTACATTGTCTTTCTTCTCGATAACCTTCCATCAATACTGTGGAATATTTTAGAGCTTTTCAAGAAATGCAAGGCTAGAGTTTTTTTGAACTAGAACCAAAATTTGCAAACACTTGGATACATTTGTATACAGGTGCAAATAGGCATTTGTACTTGTACACCCTACAAGTACAAATACACATTTGTATTTGTACATGGAGAACATCTTTTAATGAAGATGTGGTGGGCACAGGCTAGATATATAGGTAACCGAGGCTCATTAGGGGCTGAATGTCATGACGAAAATAGAGCGAATGTTGAGACAGAGTAATACTTATGGTGCCAAGAAAAATTGAAGTGTTTCACGTTGTTCGCACTTGCATCCTGCAGGTATTAATTGAATTCAAGTAAATAATGCAGTAAATAATATTAAACTGATACCTTAAACCACAATCTGTATCAAGAATTTCATTCAAATTTCGGCAAATTTAGACCGAGTGCAACTCTATTTGAGTTCGCTTAATTGCTTCATATTGAAGGTATGGTAAGTTGCCGTAGAGGTTGATGTAATTGTTGATTATATAATTATTAGTCACGACTCTACCATGTCAATCAATTATTTTTAACAAGTAAAATAACTGTTTAATTTCTGGTCAAATGATAGAAGAAAAATAGACATGGGGCCTAACTGTGAACTAATTGCTAAAAGCTACTCACTTTATATGAAGAGCGCCAGCAACTTTCTGATCGTGGCTCTAACTACAGATGACTTGAAAAGAACTTATGTCTTGATGTGTAACATTGAAATTATCTAAACAATGATCGAACTAAGGCGCAAGTTAAGTTCAAGTGGCATAACATAAGCTATGCAGGGGCTATGAACGCAATTATATGGGCAATTCGAGTTCACTCTTTCAGTGATACTACATCATTCGACCAAAATTTTGGGTGTATTGACCACAGTACAGCCGCTCTACAAATCTATCGATAAATTCAAATTTTTGAATGAGGCTGACTGTCATCGTTTAAGATTAACACACATGTGCGACCAAACAACTTCTTGAGTCGCGTATCATATCATGATTCTCATGAAGCTGGCAATATGGGATATATGTGCTCTTTTAATATTCACATTTCTTCGTAATAAAAAGACTTATGATTCCCTATCCCCTTGACCCTTATTTACCGTTGCAGCAGACTTTATTCAATATTAAATGACGGACTGTCATCGAGTGCGCCACAGATGATGTGTATGTAAAGCCTCGAGCTTAAGTGAGTTACAATGGTCTCAAAATCGTATGGAACTTATGATGAATTTGTTAATTTATTTAATTATGCAATTATTTTTTGCCGCAATAATGAAAAAAAAATTATTTAACAGATGGCCGGTATTTTATTCAATAAACAGAATTCTACTGAATTTTGTTGGAAACTATTTCACTGTAGTTTTGTCATATTAGATTATTTCCAAATGTCACATTTTTCTTAAACTAACTATTTTTCCGAGTTGTGCCGAGTAATTTAAATCGAATAATAATTTAGCTGTTATATAAAGTCGTAAACAAGTAGGGTAACATGGGGCAGCGAGCCCACTGCGGGTCATGGGCCCATAGCGGGTTTCTCGCTAAGTATGGCAGATATTGGTCCGCGTTCTCTACCGATCATTAAAAATTGAATAACTCTATAGGCGTCTAATTCACATAATACATTCCTCATTAGTTGCACCTTTAAACAAAACAAAAAACCATCTCGTATCAATTAAAATTTCATCAAAAATTTAGTTTGAAAAAAGTGGGGGGCGCGCTGCCTCACGTTACCCTACCCCCGAAGAGTGGAACTTGCGTGCTTCTTCTTGAGAAAACGGGATTAAAATAAATTAACATTGTCAGGATGATTTATAAACTCAAACAATTAATTAAATTATTTCATCTTTTCTCTTCTTAAGAAAAAAATTGTCCAACAATTGAGAGGGTGAGAACTACTTATGATATGATCTATGTTAATGCAGAGGCTAGACGAAATTGTGAAGTCGTCAACTTTCTAGGATTGGTCACATGAATTGTGAAAAAAGTATTGGTGTAAAAACCATGTGCCTGAGTAACTAATCTTAATCTATTAATTCTCGTCCTGAACTACGATTAGGAAAATATCAAGCCCAAATTTATTTTCGACTAATTTTCTCTCTTAGGTAATACAGAAAATAATTTAGCAGATTTTAAACTAGGTAAATTGTTAAAAGAAATATTTGTAATCAGATGACAATTACTCAAAATATTTTGGTTCATGCCATTTTATCATTAAAGAATTTTTAAAATGCTAGAGAGTGTTTAGGAGTGTGCCCTCCTAAAAATGAAACCGTGTGATCTATGTTTCATAACTATGTATCTCTGCTGCTAATTTCTCCCAGGCACGAAGTACCTCTTCTCAATTACATGCAATTTAAAACATTCTGGAGAATTAATGCAGTTCTTGATGAAAGCGATGACCTGTTCGTATGTTCATTCATGGTCGGTCCAATATTTACATTATAAAACGAAACACAGTATAGTGGATACCTTCGTTATAATATTTTTGTATTTACTAAATTTGCTTGAATAGTTAAGATTACAGCAATATATTTATACCAATGTATTTCAAACCTTCATCCACCACTTTAAAATTCTTCCAATATTCTTCTTAAAAGTAATTAATAGTTGAACTTAGAATACTGTTCATGATGTTAGTAGGAAGATAGCGCCGTTTGTATCATACCTGTAGTTAGGTTGGCGAAAAATTCGGCTCTCGTGAACTGCGAAATTTAAAGTGTGATTTAAATGATTTTTGATGTTAACTAAGTTGTGACATTATTTCTTAGTTCTTTGTCAGCATCACTAATAAAGAACGTAAGAAATTTCAGCTACGGTGATACGATATGGCCAAGTCTTCCTTTCCTCGCAAGACATCTTCCAGCCGTGCGCAGTCGCACTACAAAAATTATTCTTCTTTTTAAATATTCGATTGCAAGAAAATTTGATGTTAAATCAGCTACAAAATAACAACGAACCTTATGTTACGATTTCAATTACAAGATTCAGACGAAATTTTGTAATAAATCAATTCTTTCTACCACGTAAATTGGGTTCTTTCCGATGACTCTATATTCAATTGACTCGACATCTGTTCTTTGCTGCCCTTAGAAGCTAGGAACATCTTTTGTTCCAACATTTAAAATTATTCCCGACTTGCTGTATAATATCTTTTGCTACATTCAGTTCATCAAATGCAGCGACAGCATTGATCTCCGTCGGCGATTGTTGATTGTAGACTGTAGATGTTATGTTGACGTAGAAATATGTAAAATACATTCGGAGGTGACATCTCGACGCTCATGTGCTTGCGAGGTATGGTAGTGCGCGCGGACGAGTCTTCTATAGAAAGTTTCGTTTGTGAATGAAAAATTTATGCGTTTGATTGACGGATTAACTTTTAAATTTAATGTTCATCTTGCTTTAAATCAACTGTAAACCTGAAATTTGCCTCAAAATAATTGATGCGTAAAAATAATTACAAACGACTGATATCAATCAATTACGCATCATCACCGAACATACAAAGAGAGTTGTCGGTGTACCGGCATATGTACTGAGGTTCTAATTTTCTTTTAAAGATGTCACAAATTATTTTTAAACAAAACTGTAGTAAATTATTGTCAGACTATAAAATAATGAAGCTCAAAATTTTTACGAAATTAAAACCGGTTTTAGCCAATTTTGTGAAAATGCAGGTGGCCAATGAACCACTGTTAAGTCATAAGGCGAATCCAATCCTTGTCGATAACATTGAATACTCCCCAACCGCGTTATTTCTATACATTTCTTCTATTTGTATAAGAGGAGCGTCGACGACGTTGTGATTCAATGTAGATTTTGTTCCAAATGTTCTTTAATACGCTATCCGATTTGTTAGGTTTTATGCTTTACTCGTAATCAAAGATTGATATAAATACTCAATGTTTTCCACGCTTGAGCTGACCTACAAATTTACTTACCGAAGATTTTACCTCCTAAGATGTTACTTTGATGGCACCTTGTGACCACAATCATTTCGCCGTCGACATCAGCTTATTTTCGTCTATGTTTGTCATTTTAATTTTATTAACAGCAGAAAATCCTCATGTGGTCTACAGTTATTTCAGTTTAATGTTTTCATGTAGCTTGTCAGTGAGCGGTAATTGCTCAGTAATTCGTGCTCTGAGATGTGCTCTAATTGTTAATCGGTGCGCATAATTTGTGCCCTAATTGGTGATTTGTACGCTGATTTGTGCCCTAATTGGTAATTTGTACGCTGATTTGTGCCCTAATTGGTAATTTGTACGCTGATTTGTGTCCTAATTGTTAATTAGTACGCTGATTTGTGCCCTATTTGGTAATTTGTACGCTGAATTGTGTCCTAATTGTTAATTAGTACGCTGATTTGTGCCCAATTTGGTAATTCGTACGCTAATTTGTACCCTAATTGTTGATTCGTACGCTGATTTGTACCCTATTTGGTAATTCGTACGATGATTTGTGCCCTAATCGGTAATATGTTCGCTCATTTGTGCCCTAGTATATATTAAAAAAAATTCCTTAGTAAATCCAGTATTATATTGTTCTCTCTATACAAACCTTCACCAGACATTTCCTAACCAGGCAAATTATTATATATTTAATCAAGTTTATTCCTGAATTCTAATTTATAAAAAAGTCAAATTTTACTCAACTTTCTTCAGAGGTAAACTTTAAGTCGAATTCTGTTCTCGATGTTCGTATTGTTTCATAAACTCTTCGGAGACTCCTTTTAATTTTACAACCCGGAATAAAATGTTTTCGACTGCGAACTTTGCGCATTTTTATTACCCTTGCAAATATCTTTGAAATTGCAAATGATTAAAAATGATTTAAAATGATTGCATTGCATCGTCTACAATCTACAAATTTTTATAAAATTATCTCTCGCCACATGTATTTATACACTGATCTAAATAATTTTACACTCATAAATATTAACGGGTCCCATTGTCCAAATAATGCCGAGCTTTCTTAGTCACAGCGCAAGCGGTCAATGCCATTCTTAGCCAACTTACGTCCGCAAGCGGACCTAAGTTAGAAACGTCTTCTTGCCGGACTAAACTTGTTTCGATGACCCACTCGTTGGCAACAAATGCATCATTATTTGAAGAAAATCTTACACATTTCTCTTAGTGCACGATGACTTTAATAAGTAATCATCAATTAATAAACAAAGCTTTCGGTGACGTTGTAGTACCCAGGGACTAAGGCCTTGATGCGTAAGCAAGGCTCGTCGTCGGTCCGGTCACCGCCCACCAACGGGCACAGAAAGTCGGCCCGACACTCTGGCCCGCAGTCGGGCAGCTCGGGAGGGTCGGCCCAGAAGCTCCAGTAATGACTGCAGGACGGCGATTATGTGATTTAAAATTAAATTAAATTTTTTTAGCTTTAATCAGGCCTTGCTATTATTGACTAAATGAATATTATTTGAAACATTTGACGATTTTGGAAACAATCAGTACATGAGTGACAGAGAGAATATGCCTGACATGTATTAGGTAGCAGTCAGCCAGTAAATTTTAAAATTCATGAACCAAGCTTGAATTCTATCTAATTTTTAACAAAACATGATCATCAGCTTGAAAAAGTATTATAGAAAAAGCGTCTGCTTCAAACATATGGTTTCAGTACGACTGAAAATCAATTTTATTGAGATTGCGAATTAAAACCAATTGAGCAATTACCGGTAATTTTGACAATGCCAACTGGTTTAAAAGTATTATCTATGAAAATGTTCGTTTGCATTTGTAAAATTTAATCTATGAAAGCTCCTGGAAAAAAAATTAACTCTCAACGGCAGAACGTTGAAGCACAACGAATTTTTATTTCTAAGCAACACCGACATTCAAGTTAACCAACTCTTCCCAGCCTGACAGTATGAAACACTGAAATCAAAATTCGGATAAAAAACAGTCGTGCAAGGATCAAATATCCATCAAATATTGGAAATTCTGAACCAAGACTATTCATGTGGGCAATGATGTGGCAAACAATTCATGTGGAAACTCACCCATAAAATTCATTGAATAAATCGTCGTCTTCGGTCATCTGGAAGACAAGGTCGGCCCACGAGGCGGGCCACAAGTCGGGCAGGTCATATGCCTCTGTGGCGGAGTAGGCGAGGGGGAAGGCAGGGTCAGCTCCGGCGTTCGCCAGGGTCAGATTCATGGAGTAGGTCAGAGACTCCAGGACGGTCTGGCAGAAATTTATGTTGACTCCCAGATTTTATACCATTATAAAAATCAATAATCTTTCCAGATTACTCTTCAAGAAAATAGAAGCCTACAAAATTCAAAGATAATATAGATGTGTACATTTCATTTGTTTCTAGGAGGTTCAAATTTATCGAAAGATTCAAATGAAGAGTTCAGTTTGATTTTTTTTACACGACGAAGCTAGTTAAATATAATGGTTGTATAACTCTAATGTAAATGATGATTTCAGCATAAAGAAATCATCAGATCATCTTCGATTTCTGCCGAATTTATCAAAGATGTATTCATCAGAACCTAGATGAATTCCAAGAGGCTCATCTGATAAGTAACTGTCTTCTAGATGTCGAAGACATTGATTGGTGAGGACCAGGCAATAGGCCAGAGCGACGTATGGCAAGAAAATAATTCGAAAATTCCAATGCAATTATTTTGAAATCGTTCGAAGAGGGACGGTTCGTGGTAATTCTAAATAATTCTTTATGTTTATCTTACCTAACGTCCACTAAATATTTGCAGCATATATTAGATGATCTTGTTATTTCGGATAAACTATTAATTTTTTATTTGAATTTATACCCATAATAGGAGCGACACCGGCCTTCAAGAATGGCAAGAATGGCTGGCTATAATTAAAGATCTTTTCTATAAAGTACATTCAAATTGTTTTTAATTCCAGGAAAGCGTATAAAAATAACGTTTAGCGGGTAAGAAAAAATGTTTAGCTGTTAAAAGTAATGTCTACCTTTGAAAATAATGTTCAGCGGTGTTATGAACAACAATCACAACTGAGTATTGTAAACTGTCTGTCAAGAGTTAACGAACGTCCTACACATCAAAACGTACCCACGAACCACCAGGCCCGTCTACTTCGTACATCCGAAACGACGGACTTTTGAGCCCGTCGGAGCTGAGAGACGGGGCGAAGTACGCGATGCTAACGGGCCGAGTGTTGTTATCGACGTCCCAGTGCAACTGGACCTTGTCGAAGTGGGAGTGCCCCACGAATATAGCGGCGATGGTCGACTCGAATCTACAGTGGAATATGATAGTGTGTGATCAGCCAGTCATCTCAGAGGAAATAAATAAATGATATAGCGGCGATGGTCGACTCGAATCTACAGTGGAATAGGTAGGATCGTGGGTGTGATCGGCCAGTCGTCTCAGAGGAAATAAATAAATGATATAGCGGTGATGGTCGATTCGAATCTATAGTGAATTATGATAGTATGTAAAATCATCTCAGAAGAAATCTGAAGATACATTATATAGCGACGATGGTTGACTCGAATCTACAGTGGATTAGGTAGGATAGTGTGTGATCAGCCAGTCGTCTCAGTGGAAATAAATAAATGATATAGCGGTGATGGTCGATTCGAATCTATAGTGAATTATGATAGTATGCAAAGTAATTTTAGTGGAAATCTGAAGAAAAATTATATAGCGGCGATGGTTGACTTGAATCCACTGTAGAATAGGATTGTGTTTGATCAGCCAGTCGTCTCAGTGGAAATAAAAAGATGAATGATACAGTGTTTATGATCAATTCGAATCTATAGTGAATTATGATAGTATTTGTAGTCATCTCAGTAGAAATGTGAAGATAAATGGTATAGCGGTTTTGGTAGACTCGTATCTACAATATGCCCAGTCAAGCAGCAATGTGGGCAACGAAGTCGATTATTGCGGGTTATGTCATAACGCGGAAGATCCACCAACTCGATGATTTGGCAGTCGAATTTCCCTAAACAATCTTTACAGATGCACGGCGAACTATCGACTGTGGGCTTATCGCTGATGATCGAAGTAAATGAGAGTAGACACCTTAACAAACAAAGTGCAAAAAATTTATCTGCAAACTTTTTGTTTGGCTATTTATTCTTTTAGATTAATTAATCTGAAATTAATATACATTTTAGTTTGATATGATATGAAAAAAAAAATTAATTCATGATTTTATGATGATCACATAATAATTGATAATGTTACTGAATAGTAATCACAATTAATTATGTTATCACCGTTACTATTATCTAAAAATTTATTTTCTGAATCGTTACGACCAGCACCGTTACTACCAGCACCGTTACTGCCAGCACCGTTACTACCAGCACCGTTACTACCAGCACCGTTACTACCAGCACCGTTACTACCAGCGCCTTTACTACCAGCACAATATTTAATATTGTGCTGGTATATTTAATATTGTAGTAATATTGTGCACAATATTACTACAATACAATATTTAACTGTGTCTGCGTATGATCTGCCATTTTCTTAATTATTCCCAATGTGTGGAGTTCTGATGAATCTTCAGCACGTATTCTTTCTGTGATATATATTAGTCATTTTTCTCAAACCGTTTATTCTAATTAGCATGTACACCATTTTTCTTGGATTCGTTTTCGTTTTGTTTTCACCTGTCTAGTGTGCAGCATTGTTGATGTTTTCATTCATTTATTTTTTTATTCTATACCACGAGGAATAAATCTTGGGATAGACGTATTACATCACACAAATTTCTAAGCTTGCTCATTATAAATATTTAAAATCTTGTCTAGAAAGCTTGGGAATGTTTTATACATATGATAACTAATAGGTGCATTTGAGCATGTAACTTATATAGTCATATAGCCTGTTTATTATAACTCATATTAAATTCTGATGGTGAGCGTACAATGCTTCACACGACGATTAAATTTCTTTGAAAAAACATTTGTAAAAAAATTTTGCTGCCCAAAAGACAGTCGTTACTTGCAAAGGAAACCAAAACAGGGAAGAGCCTAGACAATAGTCTTATAAAATGTCATACTCTAGTAATATCTGAGTTAACTCTCCATCCTGAAGGCTTTTCGCATCTAGTCATACGATTGAACAAATATTATATCATTTAGCCATTAGAATGGTGAATTTTAACGTTACTTATTTCGTCTCCAATAATTTGCCGCTTATTGAAATGCAGCTAATTGGACCATAAAGCCGCTCATTCAATTTTTCTGAGAACTGGTAAGAAGTGATATTTTAGTTGATATATTTAGTTGGTAAGAAGTGATATTTACCTTGTTATGAGCAAGTTCATGTTGTGGCTGAAGGCTTCCAGCAAGCTCCCTATGGGGATGTGTCCGATGATGTGCACCTTCTCACCCGCTGCCTCAGCATTTAGGAGAACTTGTGCCAACCACTCAAGCTGACCGGTGGGGTCCACGTGGTTTATGAGCAAAAACCTTCACCCAGCAATAACATTAGTTACTGCTGCTCACTTGTAGGAAATTCAGATACTTGAATTTCTATACTTTTAGATTTATAACAGTCGTGTATAACATTTTTGCATCATTTCGAATCCAGACATCTGATGAATGTGAACGTGGCGGAAATTCAACCCGAATGAGATTGGTATAGCCGCTATAAATGACCCAACCTCAAATGGTTTGGTACCGCAATTCTCACTTCGCCAAAATAGTTGATTATTTGACATTTACACAAATTGGCAACCACCAGACAAGCTTACAAATTATTAACAATTGAAGGTTTAAATATTTCAAAAGCGTTGCCAAAATTAGTGACAATTCAGTTAATTACTCTTTTGGTGGGTAAACAAAATAGTTGTGCATTACGTAGCAAACATTTATGATGCTTTGAAAATGTTAAGACTTTAAACGATAAGGGACCTCTAAACGGAATTTCTGCCGGAATTTACATCGTTTCAACATAATGACAGATTTGCCCTGATTTATGATCTCATTTAAAATTATTTATGAAAGCTTTAGAATATTTTAGGAGGGTTAAATTCCCATAAAATTGACCTAGTGACGCCATTGCGGTAGGACAGAAGATAAGAGCTAGCTCGACTTTCAGCAATTCGATTTGAAGCTGAAGTGGTCATTCAATCCAAGCACGTATGCAAATTGTAAATTTGTAATATATTTCATGAATCTTTGTTGAAAAATATCTCCAAAAATGAGGACGTTCATCTCGTTTCAAACTTATTTGTGGATTCATCAGACGGTCGAGAAGTTTCTGGCTAACAAAATATTTTGTATACAACCTCAATTAATTATTCGACATTTACACTAATTGGCAACCACCAGACAAGCTTATACGACCTAAGACCACAAATCGAGTAATTACTCTTACCAGTTCTCATGGTATCCGTAATTGACGTTGAGGGAGACGACGCGTAGTCCTGGCACAGGAGACCAGTGATAGTACCCACCCCTGCGTACAGTGTCCATGGCACTCTCGGGCACTCCTCCGTCCCCCCACACAGTCTCCAGCAGCGGGTACAGCCAGTCCATTGAGTACCCGTCCGGGTACACGTCAGGAACTGGAAAACTGAGGTTAGAAGAATTCGTCAACTGTGGTCCCTGGTTAAGTCAGGCATGCTTACTCTGACAGCAGAAAAGAGATTTTTATAACAATGTAGTAACATTATATGTCCTATGCTCAGTCAAAGCTCCTGGGTAAACTTTCCGACGAGAGGAACTGAATAGAGAGTTAAGTGATAAAAATTTATTTTTAAGGAACGCGAATGATTTCACTCAGCAATTTGTGAACGGATTTTTTAACCCACCTTATGCTAATCTCATGTATTACCATGCTAACCCGAGTTTTAACTTAAAAATGCACGAACCGACGTCAATGCCATTAACGAAGGAATGTGTGATTAGTAGATTTAAAGTGATAAGACAATTATTGTTTAAATAGAACGATACGAAAAAAACAGAATTTATTTTACGTTATTTTCCCATCATTTATTCTAAAAAGATCACGGAAGCACTCTATGGGTGACATGACAAAAATCGAGTTGATATGGAAGGAGCTACGAATGAATACTAAAATTACTTTGGATTTTTTTGAAATGAATCAATATTTAATGGTGAGGGCGAGAAATAAATAGGTATTCAGTGTTAAACTATAATTTTTCTTTCTAATTTTCATTCATCAACAATTGAAGTGGTACTCCAATTGGCCAAGTAGCAATGCACTTTATGTCCTTATGTGGGACATTTTGAGCCAGTTTGGCTAGGCACAAGGACATTTCAGGGCTACTTTTTCTCCCGGCTCGTGCTGTGCGGAAGGAAGTGTGTCAAAATTTAAAAAATATAACTCGGCACTCATGAGTGACAGAGAGCACATTTTCTCGTCGACGAAAACGTGAAGTCGCGGACAGACGGACGGACATGACGAGCACAATAGGGCATTTTTTCCATAAATGAGAAAATGCGCTAATAATATCATACGCCCATTTGCGTTTCCCATTTGCGTTTTGCGGGTAACACATCTCTCTCTGCCACGTCGATCAATGCCCTGATTTGTGTTATTTTACCTGCTGCTGAATATCACCTTTTTACATTTAAAATAATTGACGTATGACACTGTCCTCCATATATTTCCCCCTACCTATTGACAGGCACAGTCTCGTGGTTGCCCAGCGTGTAGGCGACGGGTGTGTCGGGGAAGTAGCGGCGGATGACGGCCGCCGTGTCGACCACGGACGCGCGGATGTCTTCCTCCGTCAACATCCACACCACGTGTGGGCTCAGGTCACCCGTCACGTAGCTGATCGGTATGGATGATACTTCAGAGATTTAAAAGCAAAGAATACGCCTGAAAATTCCCCATACCTTCATAATAAACGTTTTGGATTCCAGCTTCGTCGTCAGTTTTAAAATTTAGTAAAAAATGTGGTAAATGGAATAGGAAAATAAGTGAAAAAACAGTGAAGTCAGTGAAAATATTTATTGTTGCTTTTACCACGTTATGCTAGTTTTCTGGAAATAACCTAATAAGCATAATAATAATCAGAAACATTGAGATGAAACTTAATTCATGATCACATTGTGTATAAATAGCTCGTCAAACTGACCGAAAATTGTTTGCAGAAACTCTACCTTATTTTGAAATAAATATGTAATCACAAAATTGGTTTATTAAAATAATATTATATGTTCAACATACACATAAATTAGATATATAAGAAAATATACAAATTTAGCCCGCATTGTTTAGCTTCAATTGAATTAAAAATCAAAATGGGAGCTCAAATTGATCGTACATGATATCAGGATTGAGAGTGCGGGCAACCTCGAGCGCAGCTTCCACGGTGCGCAGGGGCGGGTCGCAGCTGCCGCGTTCGGAGCCCCAGCGGCCAGCGAAGACGGTGTCGTTAGTTATGGTATCGTTCCAGTCGCGGCAGCAAGAAGGATGGTCGCAGTTGGAAATTGTTCCTTCAGTGTATTCTGGGTCGAAGTGCGTGTCAGACAAGTGCAGGATACGGTACGTTGAATCCTGAAAATAAATCGATCATGGTTAAATTATACTTTGATACAAAATTAACTTCAACTAGTTCTAATGTCAGTAAAGTAATAAATATTTCAATTTCTCCAATTGATTTATTTGATGATGCAATAAAAAATAACGATCAATATTGTAGTGGACAATAACAACTCAGGAAACACCGACATTGTCACAAGGACAGCAAACCAAGATAGTCTTGCTGAAGCATATTCCTGTATATGTTATATTATTGGTAGATCATCAACAGTTCCCTTGCCACAAGTTCTACAATTTTGACCTTGAAAATCAGCGATGGCCTTAAATCTATTACATTGTTCAATGTTATAAAAAGCATGAGAAATTGAATTGTTGCACTGATATTATTAAAAATTTACTGATAAATATTGAATCGTGGCTGTTTTTGGCATTGTTTGTGAGTGGTTTAGGCCGTTTTCTCTGGCCACTATCAGGCCACCCTGGCACTCGTGTTCTCTGTCAAAGCTCACCCCGACAACCGGCGGCACGACGTCAGGCTTGCCCCCGGGAACGTCTATGGACCACGGCGGCAGAGTTGACTTGCACGTGCCGAAGAAGACGTGACACACGGTGTCCACGTCGTGCTCCGTCGTGTTCAACACGTACAATACTTGCGGCTAAAGTGCATGAGAGGAACAAAATATTAGGAGCGGCAATGCAGTAAGAATCATGATTCTAAGAATAATATAATCATGATCTTGTAAGAATTGTAATGGTGAGGGTGAAGAGATGCATTTTAATACGATAAGATATAGAGTGGGAATAGGAAGATAATATATATGCAGAAATGTACAGGCCATTGTAAGATGAAAGGCAAAAGGCACTGCTGATCAAATGCATTTGGCTGACAAGAGGAATTGGATTTGGGTTCGCGGTGGCCTCCGGTTGGATTATGAAATCAGCCAGCCATGCGGTGCACATTTGTGGATTTATTAAAACAACTCACATACGTCAATATATATTCCCATCATTGACCTCTTCAGTTATAACTTTTACTTAATATTTTTGTTGGGAATGGCCTCAAAGGAAACAGATATAATGTTGCGAGAGAAATATGCAGCATTTTAACTAGATAGCTATCAAATAATAAAGGGTTCAATTGAGGATTAGGTTACGTACGTGGTACGGACAAAATGAGATTTCCATTTAATGAACAAAATACATGTTAGACCAATTTTTAATCAAATAAATTTCATATGAGACTAGCCAGTTACGAGAAAATAATAAATTCTTAAAATAACTTTGGAAGAAGGTTTGGCTTAGTCCAACACTTCGCTCGGCGGCGCTTGACCGAGATTGTGTATAAATCTCAGGCGACGTGATAGTCAGGTACGCACATCATGTCCTGACATCACACAAGGTACAGCATAGTAGTTGTAGTACGCGACATCATCACCAGGTACATCATAGCAGAAGTTGTAGGCGACATCATCACAAGGTACATCATAGCAGAGGTTGTAGGCGACATCATCACAAGGTACATCATAGCAGAGGTTGTAGGCGACATCATCACAAGGTACATCATAGCAGAGGTTGTGGGCGACATCATAGCAAAGTTTCTTCTGCAACATTTTAAAGTAACAAAAACTATGGACGCCGTAGGTCAGTAGCTCCTGCTGCTACACGAGTCAAGAAGTTGTACGTAAAAGTTTCAATAGTCGAACTGCTGTAGTACCTACTGGAGTCAGTACGTGGAGCGCCGACGATGTACCTACAGAGACCTAATCTCATGAAAGGCCACGCGGCGGCTGGAGTCTCCCACGGTCGTCGAAACCATCAGACGACACAAGAAATTGTAGGAATAGTGTCGGACAGCGGCGCCGGCTTTTCATCCAGAAGCTTGGTCTCTGGACCGGCAGACTGCATCCAGCCACGCCCGCTGACGAGCACCGCACCGCTCAGAGGAGAATGAACACCTACATTCTACAAGCGCGCAGCATCAGATTCGAGCAATGCTTTGGATAGAACAAAAATGCATGACCGCCGGTTCGCAGAACCTCAGACTGCTACAAATCGGGGAAACAACGAGTTCAAAGTGCCCATAAAGAAACACGAGAATGTTTGAAAAAACTACGTCACGAATGAATCACAATGCTTCGCATCCAACCCAATGAATACTAATTTAAGAGCATCATGTTGGTCTTGACCGGAACATAATCTTGTCGTCAAAACGATGATCAAGAGTCATTCTGTAACGGTGGCAAGCTTACGAACATTCACTCACAGCAACGAGCTTACGAACATTCACTATTCACTCACGGCAGCAAGCTGCACCATCTCGACGCAGACGTCATCAATGAAGAGATGGAAGTCTATGCAGATTTCTATTGCCAGAGTCTCGAGCTCCTGCTCACTGGCGCCCACGCTGAGTAGCTCCTCGATGCTGGCTACCGCTGCGTGGCACTCGCGACAACCGACATCCCTGCAGTTGGATTGAGGACGAGAAGATTTTTAGGGGCACATTTTTATGACTTTATTTTTCTATTGCTTCCTGTGCATCTAATTATTTTTAACTTTAACCTGAAATCTGCCTGAGTATAGGTCATAATATATTTACATTTAGCTTTTCAACGATCGTAATTTTGTTGTTCTTGCACATTTTCCGTGCACAAACAATGAGGACGAACTCAAGATATGTAAATTAATCACTAGACTGAATATATTTCGTCAGAGTACCTCGCTGGCTATTATACTCACACTTTCTCTTCATGTTCAGGCGACTGGAATATGAATCCGTGAGCCACAAGCAGTTGGCCTGAAATCATTCATGATTTGAGAAGGTCACCGTCGAACTTGCCTCATCGCAAAAATTAAATTTTGAACAATTGCATTTTTCAAGGTTTGTGCTAATAAGCTAATAAAAATTTCGCTAGAATTATGAAGATGCGTTCTTTGAAAACTGATCAATGAACGATCATCGACATGAAAAACTAATTTAGAGCTTTTTCAAAGCTAGAGCGTTTGTCATTTTACAATTTGGAAAATTAAGCTTACGACGAAGCGTAAGACCACTAAGTGAGAGTTGAGTTTCTTTAAATATACGAAAAAATTTGGAAGCCCTCAAATAGACTTGTAAAAATGAAATTGATTTTAGCGCTTTATTTTAGTTCATTATATTAGATATGGAATTCGTTTAGATATTAAAAATATATTAAATTACAGAATTACGAGAACCATATGTTATACATGACACGTTCGTTTATTCGAGAAGATCCATCTTAGAAACTCATTTACAAACACCAACAGCAAATTTAAGTTAATTTTAAACTTTTACGGTAAAAACAATTTTTTTCATCGACTTAAAACCTTTTCTAATATATATTCCGTACATACGAGAATAAATAATTCTCAAAATTAAATGTTGTACCACATTTGAACATTTGATGAGACTCCCATATGCCCAAGTTAAGCTTTATTAAGCTTGAAACTTCAAAATATATAAATAAATTCATCAATATTTGTCACGGGCTTTAAAATATGGCTTTTTCCTGGTCCCATTGATACCTTATTAATTCACGAGTCTCATGTAAAACACAACTCTTTGAATAAAATTTTCCGCAATAAATCGTTCGATGTTGGGTCGAAGGCATTATTGGACTGAGCGGATACCAGGCGTTTTTGTAGCACAGCCAGCGGGATGTAGGGGTGACTAGTAAATTTTATAAAAGTTACACGACTTATGTACCTATCACTGACTCACAAAAAATACTTATTAGTTCCCTATACAAAAAATCGAGGCAAATATTTTAAATGTTGATTGGGTCTACACAACCTCTGAGAGATTGAATTGAGTCATTGTCTAAATGACGACACATTTCCTTACACGCAGTACGATTGCTGAATGGACGTAGCACTGATACGGCGTTTTGTCGGGCAAAAGTGGGTCAGGATGACCCATCAAGGGCTATAAGTGCATTGCTATTTGGACAATGTATAACTAATTTCTCTGAGTATTTATGACGCTAATCTGGCACCCATTAACAGATCAGTCAAAGATGAGAATGAATGAGATGAGGCTTCGGTTGAATTGATGCAGTATGCGGCTAAACTAAAAGTTGGACGGGCCTTTAAACGAAATCAAAATTTTGAGTTTAGGGGAGCTTTAGGAGAGTTTGCCTTTTCGTTCCTGGCTCAACCTGGGTTTCGGCAAACGCCAATTATTGATATGATTGTTCTTATTGTGCTGGAATAAATCCCAGCATTAGCTTAACTATTAGTTTTAGTTTTAATATTTTTTAGTATCCGCGTACACGGACAGGCTCGTTCCGGGATGTGCATCATTTTCATGTAATTTTGCCTGATTTATCAGTGATATGAGCAAGGATGTTCAAGCATTGTTTACTGTTTCATGATGTTCTATCTCATGATGCACAACCTAAAAACTATGTTCTGTTTTCATTGAATCCGGTTAAACTCATAAATGATCTTGATACTGTCAATTATTAGCAGTTTTGCCCCATTTATAACGTGTGTTTGTTTTTTTTAGACCGATTTTCTAGCTTACTGCAGTATCAAAGTGATTGTGCGATTTAATCCAATTGTCCATGATTATTGAACCAATTACTATTTAAAATTCACTTGTGTAACGTAACCAGGCAGTTTGTACTGTATAACCCTGAGCGGAATTTTTCCTTGACAAAATTTTCCTGTTGCCGCCTATATGGAAATTTCTGAATATTCCTAAGCGTCTTGAATTGCTCAATCGTTACCGACTGACGTTTCTAGGAGTTACTATTAAGACTAATTTTAAGTTCTGCCTTCTTATGGTACTCTGTTTTGCAGAGCACGTCATGTGAAGATGGACTGAAAAGAAGTACAGTAAGATTACAAAATTCTGTATTTCATTCTCCGCATACCATCTGCGTCCTCTGGCAATGAGGACGCGACACTTATATCCACCATTGATTTCACTTTGCATCTTTTCGCCAACATGAAGGAACATTAGAAATTGAGCCACACATTGGGCATTTTTAAACTTAATTATGATCATATCAAATGGTTGATTAAATAATCGTGAAAAGTGTTCACGTTTATTAGCAGTGGCATCACAGACTCCAACGACTGAAAATTCAAGGAAGCCTAATAGAAGCTGTGATCAGCCTTTGTCATAAAAACAAATTTTGAACTTACCTTGCAGCAAAGCGACGATGCAGGTATAGAGAATAATTTTCAGGTACATTTCTCCCTCTGAATTTTGATAAAGATAACCATATAAAGAAGATAATAACTCTGAAACGGTTCATATAAATTCAGTCATAAATGTTTATTTCTTGTCGTGTTGGAGCCGCATCCCATCTATGTTAAAGGTATATTGCTCCACGAACATTATTTTATTTCCCATTTACAAATCAATCTTATCAAGCTGCCATTTCCGAAAGAGGACCATTTAATTTGAAACCGTCCACCAATTAAATTGTAATATTTTACTGGAGTAGGAGACCATCCACTTTCTAGTAACACAGATTGCAACGCACAGTTATAATATATCATCGTTTGATATTTTAGCAGCATATCATGTCGAAAAATACGAACAGTTCGCGGCAATATTATTCACTTAACTTAGAATATGTAGCATCTATGGCTTATATCATTAACGTACGTGTCATTTAATAAATGATTTATTAATTTTTACTTGAAAAGTGTTTAGCCAACCAAAATAATCCCGATATGAAGGTAAACAATTCCAATTATTTCATCAGACAAGAGTTACGTCCTATTTTAATCATCGCAAGGCAGTAATGATATGCTGTTCAGTTAGCCAGGTCAGTGCGGCGACAGATGTTTGTGTGACGCGGGAATAAGCAGATGAGGCTGGGGGAACTTCACAGTGACTCACGATAAGACGATCTAACACTCCTAATGGAAAATTACCTGATAATATTCGTAGATAATATTTGTTTTCGTGTCAGTATGTTTACACAACAGTGCATGAATCTAATCTTTCACTTTTATTCGAAATAAATAGCATGGAGGCAAATTTCGACTTTTTTCTAGATTTATCGGCTGTCAATTGCGAACAGCGCTTAAAATGAAAGAAAAAGGTAGAATCTCACACAAACCTTAAGAAATATATAAGTTAAATATATTTTCTTAGTCAAGCATAATAGCTAAAAAAGAGGAAAAATTTACATGAATAAAAGTAAATATCCTTTATTGCAAATTTTCACACAAGTTATGACTGAAAATATTTGATGATATGAATACCTTCAGCCGAAAACTCGAACATTTCGGTTTCCTAATGAATTATTATAAAAGATTTTTAACGAATCAAACTGTGCCACCTGGATGACGGTATATCTATAGAGAAATAAATAATAAAATTTTATATAATAAATATAGAGTGGCAGTGAGTAGCTTCTCTTAACATTTTAGAGTAGCTGAAAAATTATTCTTGAATGGTAAAATTTAAAAACTGAAAGTCGTTTCATTATACTTTTAAGGAACAAGATAACTCAGCATTTATTTTTCATTAATTTGTCCTGACACAACGAGCGCACAATCTCAGTCCACGACTAACGGTCTGCGCGTTCGCCCGATAGGAGTAGCACCAACCAGGCGCAGTTGTACCAGCACTTATTGTACCACGAAAGAGGAATTTTATTAAAGAGGTAACTGAAATATTATATATTGACAAAAAAGAAATAGAATTAGGGGCCTTGAAAATCAGCTACCGAGCAGCAATGTCAGTCATAGGGTTTTATCTATTATCTCTTGTCTTTCCGGTGTGTCATATTCAATGTTTATTGTTCATGTAAAAATGTTGTATATTGTTCAATGTTTATTGTTATTGTTCATGTAAAATGAGTATGTTCAGAGGTACCAAGATTGTGATACTGTCAAACTGTAGCCATAGCAATAGGCAGAGCACGCGCCTATTGCTATGGCTGAGCAATAAACAAACGTCGCAGGCTGCATTGAAGCCGAATTTTATCGTTATTTGGTTAAGAAGAAAGATATTGTTTGTATAGATATATAACTTTGCTTTCTCGTGATATGTTAATCGCAGTCACATGCTATGTCCATTGTGGCTCCACGTTACGTATCTTGCTGCTCCACGTTACGTATCTTGCTGCTCCACGTTACGTAACTTGCTGCTCCACGTTACGTATCTTGCTGCTCCACATCAACAGTGTTAACAGTCAACAGTGTTAACAGTCAACATTGTTAACAGTCAACAGTGTTAACAGTTAACAGTCAACAGTGTTAACAGTCAACAGTTAACAGTTAACAGACAACAGTGTTAGCAGTTAACAGACAACAGTGTTGGCAGTTAACAGTCAACAGTTTTAACAGTTAACAGTATTAACAGTGCTAACAGTTAACAGTGTAAACAGTGTTAACAGTTAACAGTGTTAACAGTTAACAGTGTTAACAGTTAACAGTGTTAACAGTTAACAGTGTTAACAGTTAACAGTGTTAACAGTTTGTTCATTTGAAATTTTGAAGTAAAAATGTTCATTTGAAATTTCGTGCTTTAGACGGTAAGGCAGTGAATGGAATAAGTGGTACAGAAACGAAATTGCTTGGTGTGGTAGACTTGCAATCATCTTTGCTAGGATGTCCGATTGACGAGCCGTTGCCTTTTGCTGTCATAAGTGCCGATGATATGCCGTGTTGTGCAATACTGGGTGTTAATTTTATTGTCCGAAACAAAACTTGTTCTTGATTTTAATGGGCGTTTTATGAAACTTGATTCTGGGTCAGGACGTGTAGACGTCCCTTTGCATCTGTGTACCGACGCGAATTGTGTCAACGTAAGTTACCGGTACGTGCTGGCATATCACGCCAGTGACAGCAGTCTGAGACCGTCATCTGGAGACGAGGATACAGATGAGAGTGTCAATGTTATAGATGGCATGGAACGATTCCAATGGCAGATTTCTCGCAGTGACCTGGTATTGTTACAGAATCGTGACCCAGAAATTTCGCAATTAAAGGTCAAGGTAGTGGATAAGGTACCTGCCAAGTCTTGGCGCGAGCGAGAATTGCGGCGCTTTAAAACTAATAGTGAATCTTTGCGTGTTATGACAGATTTGCCTGTAATAGAATGAAATTATTCCGTACCTGTTGTACCATTTTCTTTATTAGTTGACATATTGTGTTTAAAGTTCATGTAAAGTTGGCTCATATTGGCAGAAACAAGTTGATTTCAATAGTAGGCAGACAATATTTTCACCCTTCACTCAGTCGTGTTGCTGCAGATATTTGCTCTTCTTGTGTTCATTGTCAGCTATACATGCAAAGTATCTTCGCAGTTGAAAACGCCGCCAGCCATCAAAATTAAGTCCTTGTTCCCTTTTGATCTTGTAGCTATGGATTTGCTTCAATTTCCAAAGTCGTCAGCCGGTCACGTGGCCGCATTAGTGGTAGTAGATCATTTTTCTAAATTTTTATTTGCAGTTCCGTTGAGAGATAAAAAGTCATCATCTGTGTGCAAGGCTGTGTGCGATAGTATTTTGCCGCACAATCTTCGGTTACCGTCCAGGGTTTTGACTGATAACGGACCAGAATTTCGATCGAAGGAATTTAACGATGTTTTAGCTATGTATAACATTTCACACGTATATTCAACTCGTTACAGAGCAAGCGGAAACGGAGCAGTTGAGCGATCGAATAGAACTATTACAAGAGTTTTTAAAAGGTATTGTTAACGAAAACGTATGTTCGTGGCATGTTGCATTGAATAAGGGAGTTGTCGTGTACAATAATACCTGGCATGTTCAAATTAATGATACTCCTTCCAATTTTATTTTGCATAAAGCTCACAATACTGATGTTACCATTCCATTAGATTCAGCAACTGTAAACACCTGGAAAGATGCGCACCCTCAGTTTAAGTCATTTTCATGCGGTATGAAAGTAGCAGTCAAAGCAATTAGAATTGGGAACCAATTGTCGTATAAATTAGGTAGGAAGTTCAATGGCCCATATACTGTATCCAAGGTGCAGAGTAACGGTGTGACGTACGAAGTAACTGATGATGCTGGTGATATGTTGAAAGTGCACCATAAGCAGATGAAGCCGTGGGTCAGTCCTCCTCAGTACCTACTGCGATATATGGATGAAACTGGTGACCCTAATGTGCGTGTGAATGTCGATCATGGTGGTAATGATGAGGCCAATTATGTTTTGGAATATGACAGAACTCATAATGATGTCGAATTTCCACCGACCGCATCGAGCGATAGTGACTATCCCGAGGATGAAGCGAATGATGTGGAAAAAGGTAGCAACGCGAGTGGTGCAGGTGATGTCGTGAGTGACGATTTGGAGGATGAACGTGTGCCTGAACGTGTGAATGATCCTGACCTGGTGAAGGCATTTTACGAGCTGAAGACAAGATATATCCTTTATGTCACTTCAAAAGATCTGGATGCCGTCGTGTTACCTGGACGACAGCCGCAATCCAATGGTGAAAGAAGTACACTAGATTTGGCCTTCGAGCTCGACGGGGATGAAGGCAGAGTAGAAGATACTGGCCTGGATGACGTGTGTAGAGTGTCTGCCCCTCTAGAAGAGATTAACCCGACCAAGCAGTTTGACATGTCAGTGTCAATGTCAGCTATACAGGATGTTGAAAGGGAGCCGAACGATGCAGACAGTTGTGCGAGCGAAAGCTTTTGGTTGTGGCTGGATCAGTCTATCTCCGATCGTGAAGACGTGTCGATCGCGTCGAGGAGTGAACGGGCCCAACAGTTTGAATGATGGCTGGATGGAAGACGTGTCGGATGTAGTTGGAATGGATACCTTTATAATTGGAAATCAGAGGAGGAATGCTTTGGACGCAATGTCATATCATTTGAAGCATGCGCGAGAGGTTGTGCGAAGTCAAAAGAAGGGCAAAACTGAACTTGAGCATGGAAGGTGTGAACAGCTGCGTACGTCTGTAGAGCCTGATGTAGGTGAAGTATCGGACGTCGTAACATCGTTGCCAGAAGGCTCGAGGGAAGGTGTGAAGACGAGATCCCGCGGCCCGGTTCAGACTCACCCCAATGTGCAGGGGGGTGTTTTGGAATATGTACTCAGTCGAGACCGTCGTAAATAGTTGAGTTATCGTTTTAGTATGTTCGTGATTTATTGTCAATTCTGATAGCATCTAAATGCGTTTTATTTACTAGCTAATAAAGTTTTTACTGAATCCATTGAAACATGTCTGAAGTTGTTTATGTATTGATTTGTTAGGCTTCTGTTAGGCTAGGTTCGGAATTCTTGTTTTAGGTTTTATCACC